TAGGACATCAATGCTTCGTCGCCCGTGCGAGGTGCGGAGGATTTCTTCGTGGTCGATGCCTAACTCATTGCCGATTCTGTGGTTGTTAGTAGGCTGTTGTCCCTGATGTGTGTCAAAGAGGATATACCTTTTCCAGTTCTCGACAATTGCTGCGTATTTGTTAGATTTCTCCTCGGAATCTGTATAGGAATGCTTGGCTTACCTTCTGTTGAGTCGATGATAGTGCCGTCGAAGTCAAGTAGAACTCCTGCGAAGGTGTAGGATACATCCGTTCCAGAAGACTGTGTTTCAGGTGACATTTTGAATTATGACAAATATTTATTGACGATACGGGGTTCAACTGCCCTGTTTATCGAGCTACATCTTTATATTAAGAGACGTGGCGCTGATAAGCGGGTAATTACTTGATTCGGTATCTTCCCGCCTACTAAAGAGGTAATCGACCCGACACTTCTTAAGACAAAACATGAGATATGGTTAGAATTTAAAGTTGGATCTTGTTTGTAGATCACTGCGACTTTATTAATAGATCACTGGGTCTGGGTCTAGGTCTGAGTACATATGCTCTGGAATGAAGGATGCCGTAGTTGCATATCTGGCAGCATAATAGCCAACAGCTTGAAGTTTATCAAAGGAAACCTGATCCACACATATACTTGCTTCATATTGACCATACATTGGAAAGAATTGACCTAGAAAACGCATCCATCTAATCATGCCAACTACATCGGCTTCTGCGCCGCAACAACCAAAACATCGAAAATCGGATGAATATCCTTCCTCAACGACTCCCTCTTGACCCCGGCATTTAAATCCTCAATATCACTCTGCTCCCAACCCAACACATCCCCAAATAACGCTGCCGTAAAGCCCTCCACGCCCTCCACAAAATTGACCCTCATGAAACTCCCACACTCCTTCAACCTCGCATCCTTAGGCCAGCTCCCAATCGGCAACTTGAACTTCATCGTATGCACGGCCTCAAACCCAGCTTCACCAACCCACTTCTCAAACTCCGGCGCCGGATCCATCGTCTGCCCAATCCTCAAACACGCCTCCTTCAACCCATCCATCATCTTCACCATATAACTATCCGCCTTCAGACTCTCATCCTCCGAATACAACGTATTCACACTCTCCTGCAACTCCAACCAACCCCCAGGCTTCAAATTCTCATAACACTGCCGAATCAACCCCGGCCAATCACGAATCGAACCAGCCATATATCGACAATGAATATAATCATACGGTTCACTCTCCATCCAATCCTTCTCCACGTCATCCACAATGAACTTCACATTCGGCGGTACCCACGATGGCTGGATCGGACTGAGATCGTTGCCTACGATCTGCTCCACATTCGGGTACTCGTCGCCCATCTGAATGGCCCAGATGCCGGTGCCGGTGCCGATATCTAGAATGCGTTTCCCATCTGGGTTTATCGGCGCAAGGAACAGTCGGTTGTTAATAAGTCGGTAGAAGATGTGGTGCACCATGTCTAGTCGGTCTTGTTCGGGCTGATCGTTGGGAAACGGGTAGTTTCCCAGATGATGTGCGTGGTAGCGTCGGCCATGCTTGTATTCGTATTTGAGTACGCTCGAGCTGAGGGATGTTGTGGAGGATTCGGTCCCTAGGCTGATTGCGTCGTCGTCGTGGTCCACCTCAATGGGGAGGTCGGGGGCAATAGAGCCCATTGTTACTACTTTTTTGTGTATGGGTTGTGGTGTGGTGTGGCTGCAAGGGATAAGCAAATACGGCGGCGTGTTCCCAAACGTCAGAAGAGTAGAGACAAAAAAGACAAAAAGAAAAGGAGAAAACGAGAGGGTCACGCCACTATAATCCGGAGTTTTATATCCTTTCACATGGTGGATATGACGGAGCTACGATTGGACTACTTAGAAAGTGGTAAATACGGAGTACTTTAGTTTTGATTCGCATGTTCGGCGGAAGCCGAGGCCGGTTGTTTCTCGCTAACGAAATGCCATGCCTTTAGCGCTTATGGTTGGTCCACTTTTAACGGTCGGGTTGCAGTGAGACTGGCGATATAGCGAATGAGAGTGGATTTATCTGTGTTTATCGGGTTAATGGCTCCGGACATGTGCCGGGGTGGGTTTAGATTGATTACTGGTGCTACTTGATTTCGTGTTCTGCGCGTGGCAGTTACCTACGGCTCTTCTGGTGGAGATGTTTCTATACCGGGGTGGAAGTGATGTTCTTGGCATAATTTCACTATACAGATATATAACTCATTCTAGAATACTGACTAGTAAAACGAACAAGATGAACAGCTTCTCCACGGACAGCAGATGGAGATATATGTTCAAGAATGTATTGATATTATGCCTTTCGTGTTTTGCAATGATGGGTTGCTAGCTTACTGTAGCCTTCCAGCCCACGTGCGAGTCAGATATGCAGTTGTATGAGGCTGATTGAGTAACCATGCATAACCATGCATTCAATAAATAGGCTCATTCTCCTTCTTCACCCCCCTGGACCGTACTAACTGTTTGGTCGTTGTTCCATTTCTTGGTTCTCCTCTTCTTTTCGACCCCCCCGACTTCTTCCCTCAGCGCTAGATTCGAGATGGTTAGATGTGCTTGGATGTTACTCTCCCCCTCGAAGCAAGTGATGGTGCCGCATCATACTCTCGCTTGGTATTATCTACCATCTCTCCTCTCCCCGTGAGATGCAAAATGTGTGCAATCTACCGATTGAATGGCTCGGTGAGGCATATGGACTGGCTCAGGGGGTTGGCAAACAACCTATGTAAACGAAAGGACAAAAACATCTTATTGGTGCACTTGCCAGTGACTTCTTCAGGATTTTCTCTGTACTTTCAATAAGTTCACCGGGCACGGATGCAGCGACACCGGGGACAGCTGCACTGGATCGAGTAAGGACTTATGTCAGAGCAACCATTGAGAGACAGGACGCCGAAGAAGAGAAAGGACAGACTTACTGTTCAGAGTCATTTTGCTCCGTTAGGATCTCGTCCAGCCAGCGGACTGTCTCCTCGCTGTGCTTACCAGGCACGAATGGCGCATCGCGACTCCTCGCCTTGTGCTCGTGCGGGCAGTGAGATTATCGAAGTGTACATATAGTGGGACTTTAGTTGTAGATTCGCGAGTCTCTTGCCTTCAATGATGTTAAACTCCCATTTTCCCTCAATAACTATATACCTGGGCAGGAAATGCGACGTTCACCATTCAATGTTCAAAACAACCACAGAATAGGGCCTGTCATTCGAATGCATGTGACTGTCCAGTTCTTTATACTACTTATATTAGAACCACTGAGGTCTGCCTGTTCTTGCTGGTCTTGGGGTTGATCAGTCCGCGCTTTGCTGGAGCTGGGCAACACTTATAGGCGTATCTGGTTGATTCGGCATATTGTAATATCCCGTTGTTATTTGGAGAACTCTGCAATTGCTTAATAATTTGAAAAAGTTGCCCTTATTACAATCATGACAGTTGGTACATGCTTCTGGCGGAGGTTATCCCTGAGACCGGATCAGCAGGACATTGATGTAACTGGAACGGTGCATAGAAATCTGATAAGCATGAATCCGGCTATGGCGGAACTCCACTTGGAAAATGCGATAAGCAGTGAAGTCTAAATAGTAGCAACGCCGACGGAGAATTGGTGATCATTTAACTTGTAGTTACTTGATATGATTGAACTTTCGGATCTTCAAACGGTTCAGAAAGCAGAAGGGAGGACACTGACGCATTGACTAGAGCTCAAAGGCATCCAGTATGTCATATAAATCGCCTGGTTCTAGCTGTTCAAGAATTGACGTTTGTTTGTCACTGCCATATATACCCATCCAAAGGTACTGCATAATGCTGCGCAACATGCAAAAAGATACTAGTTATCAGGTTCAATTCTCGGATAGTCGCATGTTTGACACAAATAGAGATCTAAAGGTTGACCGAGGGCAGCTAATTTGTAGACATCCATGTATTCCCAGTACCAACTCGTTCATCCGAAAGCTACCCGCGACACAGTCGCTTTCATTTTGGTCTCTCAATGTATGTATCTCAGCTAGCTACCCCAAGTTGAATGCACAGTGTCCTTTGTTTCAGGTTCCATAAATCTCATGTACATTCGTGATTTCCACGATGTGGAAAGGCCTTTTCTCAAGTCACCCTCGAACGAGTCCTCTTTTCACCTCTAATATCTTGGACTGCGCGTTATAGCTCCTTCTGTATGATTAGGGTTGGTAGCGATCCGTCAGCTGTCCCGGTAGTTGGCGTACTTTTCTTATCAGTCACGGGCACATTCTTCCAGGTACTGTTGAGTTCTGCGGCCTATGGGGACCATGTACTGGGGAATATGATGCAGTCTATTATAATATAGGTATTTCGGTTCTCCTGTATGCATATATAATGTCAAGGGCATACAGGAAGAAGACACCACGTAGTAAGTAAATGTAGCTATGGATATAAAAGCAGAAGACGATTGGAAGAGGCCTTGACCCTCCTTGTATACCTTAAGAGCAGGCAAGGCTGTATTGAATTCTAAAATTCAATCAGATACCGAGTGAAATGCTAGAGCATGGCTTATATAGCTGGAGACCAATACACAGCCGAACTCACAGTGACAGTCAATGTAGGTAGATTAGAAGTCAAGCAAGGCAGTAGATTACTTCACCAAGCCTCCAAATGCCCTTACTCATTCATGGTCTCTTCAGAAGAATGGTTGGGTGAATCATGCTTCCCTTCTCATCTTTCAAGCATCGGCGAAAAAGGGTATCTAAACCGAGACATCGCCTAGAAATCTTATCTTCCTAAATGAGTTTGAGCTTCCGCCACCATCATTGGTATAGCCAGGTTTATTATCTACCCAATTCTCCTCTGACTATCAGCATGGACAAAGAAATGTGTCATCTAAACAGCTACTTATTGATTTGGTAGAAAATCACCTGTCGCCTGAAAGTCACAGTCTCTGGATCTTCGAATTAGCAGGTACAAGAGCCGCTATCTGTTGACTGATAGCAATTAGATCCATCCTTTCATCGAAATTTCGAAATTAAGAACCCCCATATCCATTTGGTCGTTCAATATTCCCTTGCACTCAGTCCGCAAGTACAGCCATCGGACGCCCTCCGCGGGAAGCCTTTGCCTGATCTCTGTAGAGAGAGTCAAGGAGACGTTCAGAATTTTGCCCCAAAACTTTCTGGCGCCATCATTGAGAACTCTCCAATCGCTCTGTCCTTCATTGCGAGCCTTTTCCTGGCGCTTTGCAAACTCAAGCATGGCCGCTATACTTCCCATTGGCAACGGCTTCCCTTCTCCGTGAGGGACATAGTTCTCTTGAATTGGAAGCGCCATGTCTCTGACAAACTGTATCATGTCATTAGTCCATCTAGCCTTGCCTCCACTTCCCGATGGCCGAGAGCCTAGCGGGAGATAGTCCCAACCCGGTTCAACCCATTCCTCGATGAATGGGAAGTCGGTGGGCAGAACTCTCGGGATGAAGTTCTTGACGTAGGACTGGCCTCTTCGGAATCCTTCGGGATGAAGGCGCAGTGGTAAGAAATCCAGTTCGGGTCACTGTCTGTTTCGAATTTCGTGAGATCCACGGGAGGGGGGGTGGAGAGACGCCAGTCTGTTTGGAATGTGATGCCTGTGATGGACAGCTTGGTGATGCTGTCAAGTATGTAAGCATCTGTTATTCAAGCGTGGTTGTTTCCTACTTACGCTATATCCGCAGACGCGACGAGCTTTTCATTCTGGAATGATTCAACACGGAGGGTAGACTGTCCTTTGCCGATATTCACTTCTCGCAAGGTCATCATCAATGGCGCCGAGGCAAATATCGGACGGTAGAATCGGATATGAGAGTTTCGAAGGTCAATCTGAGTTTGCAGTTTGGGGTGTTGGGAGGCGTATAAAGTACATATTTGGTCATTACGCTGGCTACATAGCCACCGTAAATGACTACAACGTGGTCAGTGTCCCTTCACAAGTAGGATTCATGCAATCTAGTACGTACCAGAGCCGACCGCAATATCTGAGGGCAGCTGCACTGAGCATTCACGCGTAGAGAACGGGAGGTCCAACACTTGGCATGTTGCCAAGTTGCCTAACACAGATTCAGTTCCGTGTGAACCCTCAATCAAAGTGTTTGACAAACAGCTCTTCCTGGGCATTTTGTGGGTTGCGAAAAGATAACAGCGAAGGGACAGAGTTGAAATGTGAGCACTTGTAGTAGTGTCTTCTTTGGTCTTTCTTCTTATTCCCCTGCGATCAATTACAAACTAAATGCAGAACAGGACTTACAGGAGTATTTATAAAAGCGATCAATCACGTGTCCGACAGCAATTCACCCATCGCATGTACATCTAATCTTCTCCTGTAGCCACTGGGCTGTGAATAGTTAAGAAATGGACCAGTTAACAGAAAGTATCCAAGAGATCACTGTTGTAAGAGTTCTTTGGACAAGGCTGATAGTGATAGTGTTCCAGCAGGGGCGTGGATCCTGCGTTGGGATCAGCAGCTTAGTTATGATCATAGTTCTTTGTACTTCTTGTTGGACTGAGTGGTTAAAATCCTGTGGTATGGTGTCTAATTATTTACTTAGTAAGTACTTATCAGTAGTTCCTACTCTACGAAAACCAAATCTAATTGGTGCCCGGATGTGTCTCCAACACTCACTTACCCATCCAATTAGATTACAGATAAGGACGAGTTGTAATGCTGCTGTGCGGAGATGTTCCAGACTTCCACATTCCAACATGAGAGCAGTCATACAACACTTACATGCATCATCCATCGATTCCCAATCACGTTATTCCTCACAGTACCTTCAAGAGCCCTGACTTAACCGGACTCAAAATACGCGATCGTACAACCCATCGCAACATACCACCACCTTGTCAGATCATACGATCCCGTCACTACTAATACTATAACCCCTCACCACCCCAACTAAACCATCACCACTACTAGCTTACAACTCCAACTACACCTACAACCTCTACACATCCATCCTCAACCATCCAAAAACATCAAAAATGACCCCCCAAACCATAATAATCGGCACCGGTCTCGCCGGCCTAACCACCACCAGCACTCTCCTAACGCACCACATCCCGGTGCTCCTCCTCGACCGGGCCCCCAAACCCGGCGGCAACAGCATCAAAGCCTCGTCGGGGATCAACGCCGCTCCGACACGATACCAACTCGACCCGGATTCCATCACCACATTCCAACACGATACCATCCTCTCCGCAGGAATGCCGTATACCTCTGCTAGAGGGGTAGAACGCACCCGACGCGAGAAACTCATCGACACACTCACCGCGAAGTCCGCGGACGCGCTATACTGGCTTACGGATGACATCGGGGTCGATCTGAGTCGAGTCACTCGACTCGGGGGACATAGTGTATCGCGGACGCATCGGGGAAGTGGGAAGGGGACACCGGGGTATGATATCATCAAAGGGTTACTGGGCCGGGTGTCGGAGGATGAGAATTGTCGGATGGAGGTGGGGAGGCGGGTTACGAGGATTCTACGAGAAGAGGGGGGAAGAGGACGGGTAGTTGGGGTGGAGTATACTGTCCAGGATAATGAGGGAGGGGGCAATCAGACAAAAACAGAGACAGCGTACGGACCTGTCGTCGTCGCGAGTGGAGGGTTTGCAGGCGACGCGAGAGGAATGTTAGCGCAGTATCGGCCCGATCTGGAGGGGATACCGTCGACGAATGAGCAACGCGAAGGGACGCAGCCTTTACTGCAGGATGTTGGGGCGGCGGTGGTGGATATGGAGCAGGTGCAGGTGCATCCGACGGGGTTTGTGGGAGGGAAGGAGGAGGAAGCGGAGGCGATGGTGAAGATATTGGCGGCGGAGGCGTTGAGGGGGGAGGGGGGTATACTTGTGCTTGGGGATGGGAGGAGGTTTGTGAATGAGTTGGAGACGAGGGAGAAGGTGACGGGGGAAGTGATGGGGCGGGCGGAGAGGTTGCCGACCAAGGCGAGGCAGTGGGATGTGAAGCTGGTGCTGGATGAGGGGGCTGCTGCGGCGTTGCAGTCGCATTTGGGATTTTATATGTGGAAGGGATTGGTTAAGAAGACGACGGTTGGGGAGTTGGGGGAGATGTCGGCGCTGGAGGGGACGCTGAGGGAGTATGCGGATGTGGTCGCTGGGAAGAGGCAGGATGAGTTTGAGCGGCAGTCATTTGGTAATTGGACGCTGAGGGAGGTCAAGCCGGAGTCGGTGGTGTATGTAGGAAAGGTCACCCCGGTTGTTCACTTTACCATGGGAGGCGTGGTGATCAACGAGCGCAGCCAGGTGTTGGACGGTCAGGGGCAGCCCATTCCCGGACTCTGGGCCGCGGGCGAGATTACCGGGGGTCTCCATGGCCAGAATCGGTTGGGGGGATCGTCGCTGCTGGAGTGCGCAGTCTTCGGTCGCATTGCCGGAGAGGAAGCGGCTGCTTATTATCAGGGACTGAAGGAGACATGTTCCTGAGGATATGCTCGAAGGGAGAGACTGGTGGTTGTGAAAATTTGCGAAATGGTGGAATAATTGTGATATTATGTACTCAGTATAATGCACGGTACAGTGGTTATCTTAATAAGCTACTACGGCAGTTGTCTGATCGAAATTTACTGTTTGTTTGATCTTGTGTCTAAAGTTCTGGGGAACTGCGCGGTTCATGCAACCTACTGCATCTCTTGACGATGACCTTGTTTCGCCTTCAACGCCTTACCTGGTGATGGTGATAATCATCATCAAACAGTATAACGAATCAAGGCACTAGTCATGAGACATTACATCTCACTCTGGCCAGTGCATTCCAATGGAACCGATCAGTTTCAAGAGTCGAACCACTGCACCATGCATGCAAGCGCACTGTAACATCTTTGCATTCAGCCATTTCGCAGAGTGATCCCAATTCGAAGGAAATTCTACCAAGATTCCATGGACCCTGTCAAGATGATCATTGTCGCCCTTAATTGCATCATGGGGCCGTTGCATGAAAACTGGAGATAGTTAGATACCCTGCATCCACGAGCAGGTGAAATAAAAGTGACGTTGGGGCAGGCCAATGCAGCCCTTGCGAGGATGCGTTGATTGATGGACGGGGTACAGGCCCTGAGCACAGGGACCCATGACGTAGGACGCCGAAGGGACGGGCTTCTCGGTCGAATTCCGGAGAAAAAGAAAAAAGTAATCTAAACTAAAACCAACAAAGAGAAGATGAGCTGTCGCACCGCCACAACTCAAACATTTACCCAGTCCGACTAGGGTCGTCGCCTCCACGGAGCGGAGTTAGTCAATCTGGTGGGCACCCTTCCCTTCTGCCTGGACTTGGAAGTGATGATACAACGCACACTTCATCCCACGCAAATGCACCAATGCACCGACAGGTCCATGGCGACTCGACGCGCTCTTCTAGAACTTTGAGTGTTTGTTTGGAAGGTGCAGATACCCCTTCTCCTTACGGACAATGCAGCCCGTGGGAAATGGAATGGCTGGATAACTCCAGCCTTCCTTTCGGCCGCGCCCTGGAACTGTTTTTCCGTCCTGACTCTCGCCCACGGTTACGAGAGAAATGGTAGCTTCCTCAATCAATAGATCGAAATTAGTGGGTGGCGGAAAACTCAGCAGCTTCCCCACAACGGACCAAACAACCGTGTTGCTGTGGTACCACAAGCCAAGTTGCCGTCGTGATACACAGAGCTCTGTAGTCGGTCCAATTGAGAATGGGCGAATTAATCCTGGACTCTTCTCCAGCGTCAACGCTAGAGAGACGGCCAGAGTCGTGAGTGGCCCAGCCCTGTCGCGGAGGCAGCCAAATGTGGCTTAAGAGGGCGAGGGTCAGCCACACCGGCGGTGGGCTGATTTTAGTAGGAGAGCGAAGCGCAAATCACCATCTGAGCCAGCGAAGATCGGCCCCATCGCGTCGATCCCCTGCATCCTCTCGGTCAAGGGCCCTATGCCAGTCTCTGCCCACTTCCTGGCCTTGCTTGGCCTGCCGGCATTCACATCTTGGGCATCCAGTATCCCCCAACTCACTGACGTAGGTGGTGTGACGAAACTTGGCCTTAGCATCTCTGTGTCGTCCAATCTAGACTTCTCTATTGTCAGTCGCCAGCCCGGTTCGTAAATTGGCGGGATAGGAGTAAACTAGATGCACTAACAAAGCGAGAAAGGGCCCTTCTCCCTAGTTCGGTTAGCAAAAGAAAAACTTAATCGACTGGAGCTTGGGATTGTTGAGGGAAAGTGGGATCAACAACCGGGGATATCTCCAAATCCCTAGATCCTCAGCCACTCGGCGCAAGCGAGGGTTTTTCCCTTCAGCCTATGAGAGGCACGCAGGGGATACAGTGGATTCGAATTGAGCCACGGTGTCTGGGTCTGATCATGATAGACGATGCCCCTTCCCTTTAGTCCAAGATTAAGGCCAGGGTGGAGCAGCCATGACTGCATGGACTGACCCGTGACGGTGTCCTGAGCCACGTTGGCGCGCTGGTAGCCTGGTAGATGGGGTTCTGATGCCTTTGCTGATCGACTCCAGAAGCAACCAGAGACACGCAGAAAAAAAAATAAAAAATGAAAAATGAAAAATGATATGAAAATTGTGAAAAGCAAAAAGCAGAAAAGTAAAAACAAGCAACGCAACTACTCCAAACTAGTAGAATTGACGGCAAACGCCGAAGTGAACGAACCGAGTTGTCGGTGCGGCAAACAAGGGAAGCTGCGGGCCCTGATTTTGGATTTGCACTTGTTGACTCTTTCCTGCCTCCATATTAAAATCGGCTCTTGTCCCCTCTCCCTCCAACTCTTTCTTTCTCTCCAAGCAATCCATCCAGTCCCATCATCTGTCTTTCGTGTTCATCTTCTTCGGTTGATACCCCATTCTTCGCGCCGTCGCTACTCGATTTTTGCTCTTGCACGTTTCCATCTTCTTATCACAATGAAGACCTTCTCGCTCTCCCTCGCTCTTCTGGCCGCTGCCAGCATGGTCAGCGCTGATGTCTCCGTCAGCGACTGCGCTGTATGTGTACCTGGATGTGACTTTCTTAGCGCACCTTACTGACCAGCGCGCGTCTCTAGCAAATGTGCCTTAGCAACATGAACGACAAGGCTTCTGAGCTTGGCTGCTCCAGCGGCGACATGTCCTGCCTGTGCAGCAAGCCCGACTACAGCTACGGTATCCGCGACTGCACCACTGAGGCTTGCCCCAATGATGACGCCAGCGCCGTTGTCTCGTCGGCTCTTGCTTCTTGCCCCACTTCCTCTGGCAGCTCCGACTCCGCTTCTGCTACTGGTGCTTCTAGCACTGGCTCTGGCGCTGCCGGTGCTGGATCTACCACCTCTGCCTCTTCGGCTACCGGCAGTGGTGCTTCGTCTGCCTCTGGAACCAACAGTGGTAACACCAGCGGTGCCACGACTGGCGCTACCACCAGTGGAGCGGTAAGCCTAGTATACTCGTGATACCAACGTATTGAAGCTAATCTCTTGCAGACTTCTGGTGCCACCTCTGGTGCGACCACCCTGAGCACCATCACCAGCACGAGCACTAGCACCGGCACCGTCTCTGGTCAGACCACTCTCAGCACGATCACTGGCACTAGCACCAGCACCGGTACTGTCTCTGGTGCCACCTCCGGCTCTTCTGGCAGCTCTACCTCTGGCTCTGGCTCTGGCTCTGGATCTAGCTCCAACGGCTCTGGCGGCTCTTCCTCTGCTACTGGAACTGCTCCCTCTTCCTCCGAGACCACTGGTGCTGCTCCCAAGCTTAACGTTGCCGGCAGTGGAATCGCTGGTGCTCTTGGTCTCGCTGCTATGTTCCTTCTCTAAGTGACTGGGCAAATGACTTGATGGCCTAAATACTTCAGGCGCCAAGACGGGACTGAAATCCTGACTTGAATTGTTTCACTATTATGGTTTACGACTTCTACGCTTTGTTTGCGGCTTGTATATGTTAATAGGATGGGTCATAGCATAATGACTAGTAGATAATGTGCCGACTGCCCATGATCATGATCGTGGATATGCAGCAGCATGGATGGTTTATGGATGGTTTAATGGATCACCAGGTTGATTTACACTCTTTCTCGATCGGTTAGGTTAAAAATATGAGTCAATACGCTCTTTAAGATCATCAACGAAGCCGCGTAATAGATCTTGAGTAGTTGCAGCATGATGGCAATGCTTATAGACTGAAATAAGGAGGGGTATCATGATGTGGTGACGTAGACTATGCAGAGTGGCATCAGAATGTGATGTGTAACAGTCAATCCGCCGCACTGGACCTCGGAAGGTAAGCATCCACGCAACGGATGCGCGATAAGCTCGAGACTTCTGCATTTCGATGACATTGTGACTTCAGCTGATTGTGGCTTTGCGGAGATGTTAGTATCAGAAAGTCTTTCTCGTCCTCTTTATTTATAGCTCAGTACAATTCAACTACATGTCGCTGTTGCATCGGATTATAAAGAAAGTTCTGGTAGAGGAATGGCCTTTCTATATTTATCTTCAGGCATGACCTATACCCAGTTCTGCATGGTCTACGGAATACATTGGGTACTTGTTGGTCGTTGCAACAAGGTTATCGTTATGTTAGTATTTAGCTCTAGTTTGGCGTGAATAAAGAGCTTCGTGGTACTAGTATTAGAACTAGTAGTAAGTACCAATGGTGGTCTTGGCAGTGTGGATAGTATATATATCGGCGCATGATACGTTCTTGACACTGATGGTACTACGTAGTCCATGCAAAATTATTTCACCAGTGATCACTACATCGCTACATTAAATACTTTTCAGAATACAAGAAATACATTTGACCTTGAAATTGGTAGTAAACTACCATCCTTATTTCCTGCTCTAATCTTTAGCCTTTGACCTAGATATACTAACGGTTAACAAAGTAAATGCGAATACCTGGAGTCGGATCATGGCCCTGGATTGCAGTCGCTAGTCTCTACAGCTTTGTATTCAGATTACTAATTGATGACCTACATAAAAAACCCTCATTTCTTCCTCTTCAGATATGGGTTCATATTATCTCCAAGAATGCGAAGAAAGGGAGACCCGGTCACGTGACCGTGCTGTCCTACCGTCAGCCACAGGCATCAAGGCACTAAGGCATAAGCGCAGTAGTCGTATCTATATCTTCAACAGGTAACCGATACGAGAACTACCCAACCACTCCCTCATGCAAAGCACGTTTCAATGTAAAGGGCTATTTTTGTTCTTATCTGAATGCCTAAATTGTTCCTTAGCCTTAGTCTACACTATATCGAATGAAAAATCCATGTAAGAAGATGGTTTATAAAGTCCAATGGTCCTGGTTCGGATGTTCCATCTACAACACAATTCAACATACTACTCATACCATATTACATCCCAGCACTACTCCCAATTTCTCATGAGAAACAAGCACTAAACAATTAAACATGCCCAGCCTCATTACCTTCATCAATACATATCACCGCCCCCTCCTCAAACGTCGTCTCCACATCCTCATCGCATCTCTCATCGCCCTGACCTTCATCCTCATCATCGCCCGACTAGCAACCCCAGGCACACCAGCGACACGCACCAATATCTGGGGTATAGCAGTGGTACAATCCTCTTCCCCCTCATAAGCATGCTCTCAATTCAATCACACTAAGTAGAAGTAACATTCGAACTGAAATGAATAGTGCCTCAAAGCCGCCCTCTTCCTCACCTACCAGATCCTAACAACCTACAAAGCCCGCTTCAAGCGATGGGCCAATCTCAAAGCCAACATGATCCTGGATATAATCGACACGGTGCTTTGGTTCGCGTTGTTTATAATCAGTATAATGGGCGCGAGCGGCGGCCGTAGTGTTGCTAGTAAGGTCCTGGGTGCGTTTGTGGCTATTTTGGCGTTGGTCTTGTGGTGAGTTTTATTCGACAAGACAAGGATTGTGATGGTGTGGGTGGAGCTAATGGGTTATTATACAGTAGTGTGGTGGGGTTGTTGTCGTATCTTTGTGTTGTGGATTATCGGTATTTTAAGGCTCATGGAGAAGTTGAGACTTATGGGAGTGAGGAATTGAAGGGGGAGGGGGAGGTTGTTTGATGGGGATAAATATACTACTGTATATTGTCGTTCTTTATGGCTATTATGGAACCATTGATGTATTAGAGGGGGAGAAGAGAAGAGACATAGCGAATGTTCATGAATGTATTTTGTTTTAAGACACTCGCCTACGTGGTCTCCCCAATTTACAGATTTACTTTTGTTGTGTTTCGTTGTGTTTACTACAGCGACGACCCTCCGTCCTAGGTCACAGAAGCCTCAACCAGAAAGGAATCGAATTCAATTGAACAAATAATTACTACTATCATCCAGGAGGAGCAATGTAGCGCAATGCACATTCTGGATTGGATTGAAACCCTACATCCTTCTAATAATGGAGACACAAGGCTGCCACATTCCTTTTATTATACACCATTTGTTTTTTTATCTCCATATAGTTCAGATCGAGGACAAAGTATTGATTTCAGAAGTTTTAAGTTTAATCTGCTTATCACTTTGCTGGTTCCACTTCCACATACGCCTTAACCATAAGCGGTAATGGGTACGACTACGATGAGGCATCTACAATAAAATGGTAAAGAGTCTGCTTTGGAACATACTGCAGTCGTCTGTTCGTATCGTTACCCCTTCTAGGGAGAGGATTGGGACAAAGCGGTGAAATATGAGAGTTGAACCCTGGGTGCTACTTAAGAGAAAATAGGGCTAATAGGGGAAGACTGAATGATGCAGTATGCATGATATGACAACCAATGAGTACGTTGAAACTCAGGGGAGAAGAACGAGAATAAAATTGTAAATCGATAAAGCAGAAAAACAGTCAGAAATTTTTCATCGCCTCCGGGCGCAGCATCTCCACCTGATCCTCCTCCATGTCCATCATCTTGTCATAAGACTTTGGACGAGCCGAGAGAATACGACTCGGATGCATGACATTGAACAAAACACAACACAAGAACATCAACAGGGCATCAAAAATATACAGGAACATCTCACTCTGTTTCAAAACGCCCTCCGAGCCCTGCACATATTCCACCACACGATAGATGGACCGTATTATGATCAGAACACTAGCCGTGTACAAAATGGACATATAGGTGTGCCACGGTGGTGTGAAAGTCAGAGATACTTCAGTGGGCGAAGCAGCCATACGGCGATGAAAGACCACAGTGACGATGATGAAGAAGCCGAAAAATACCAACTGAACAATAAGACCGACCACAATGATGTTATTGCCCAAGGAGATCTTGCTGGGGGTTTTGGCAGAGGCCATCATTCCGCCGCCGCCACTTTGGATGAAGAATGAGAGCACGTCGCCGGTCACGAATATCTTGGTCAGCCATGATGGCCGGATCAAAGAGTGTGCACCGCCGTCGAGGAGGCGGATGATTCGGCCTAGGATCATGTAGATGGAGGCGGAGAATAGGGCGGGGGCTAGAAGGAGAAGCAGTTCTTGTCCGACGTAGGGTTTCACGGTCCAATCGGGGGTCTCTCTGGCGCTGAAGTATCGTGCGATGTATCCAAAGGTTTCAACTAAAAAGGCTCAAGGCATTAGAAGTGTGGAGGAATAAAGGGATGAGGGAACACACAGAAGCCACCAATAACGAATGGTACAAAACACCATGTTCGCCTCCGGATCAATTGGAAAAGATGCACTAGGGAGGTTGCAGCGAACAGCCCGGCAGAGATAATAGCTGCGCCGACAGAGGGCTCATAGTCATAGAGCTTGTAGTCACTCGACATGATTGAAGCTTTGAGTCGTGAGGCGTTTAGAAAAGCACAAGTTGAACCCCCAGGAAGAGAGAACATGGAGGACAAAGAGGATTAAATAAGTAATTAACGAACACTACGCACTGGGCAGGTGGATCTCCACTGCGTAGCTTGCACGTTCATGCCATGGAGCTAAATGTTCTCCGCTCAGGGGCGTCCCTTGATATCCACAGGGCTTGGGTTCTTATGATTACTATTGTAGGCTCAATGAGCATTTTGGAAAAGCCGAGAGTGATTCTGGTGGGTAACCGGTAGTAGGTGTCTGGCCCGTTGTAAAGGAGTCAAAACTTCAATGTGGATGTCACCCTCTTCTATCATAAAAGCAATGTAAAACCATACCTTTACGCCAATCCCCTTTCATCATATTATCTACAGTTTCATACAATTCATATTGCAGCTTACTTGGTACAGTATGATCGCAAGCAATCTTGACAGTATTACACTCATGTCCCATAATAACTTCACATATACGGTGCTACAAGAGAAAATTTCAGTGCTGCAGGTTCGCAAGTCTAAGGGTCTTCCGGCCGTCTCAGGGCTACCAACAAGGCAGGCTACTGTGTTTACCAAGACTGCCCAGCCACTAGTGAAGACGGCACAGTAGGAACTTCCCCACTGATGGCATATCACATTGGTAAAATAATCATCCAGCGGGGATATTTCGGCGAAAATAAGATGGCCCTGAAGCCAGTCGGGGCGGCGATATCATTTGCTAAAAAATGTAAGTTAATGGTAATTCATCCACCAGCTATGGAGATTGTAGTCTAATGGACTCATACATTCTCAAAATCTTCGCCCATTAGTAGGATTAACAGAGAGGGACATTTAACATCAGCCGTAGAGCAATTGATAGAAATAATCAAAATTAACTTCCGGGATGATCGTCCTTCCCCGTCCTTCGTTTTTCGTATCTTATACCCGATCAGTCGAGCACGGGTCTCTTCGAACAACAGCTTAGACAAGGTAAGCCAATTGGCGTCTTGCTAGAGACAAGTGAGGTGAGACATTGACGGGAGACGTGTGGGGACATCTCTATTTATATTCTGTGTGGTGCATATGTGTCTGTGCCTGAAACAGCTATTATAGATAAATTTTTCTCATCTATAAGGCTAGCACGAGATCGAGATGGGCTCAGTCTCCGTTATCCATCAACTCCGGTGTATGCCCAAAACATTCGGGGAAAGCACCAAAGGCCACGTGCTTCTGATGATCAACTTGTTGATCATTAAGCATGGAGCCCAGAACTGCCTTCTGACCGTCAAAAGCACACTTCGTGTTTTGGTTTCCAGTTTTTCGAGTGAGACTGATCAGGCCTGGGGTATTTAGAGAAAGCAGATCAGATACTGGTCAGTGACACTCAGGGTAGAAATTGCCCAGACTCAATACACCAAGTCTCATAAGAGCATCTGTCAATTGCCCATCTGCCCAGGGCCAAAACAGGGACGGACGGAGATAGCGCTGAGTATCATGCTCACATTCAAATGTATACCCCTTATCGTGCTTCTTTTATACCAGCCTTGATACTATGTAATACACGTAAAGACCGGCATATACTCCAATAACTCCAGACAGGCTTTATAGCTACACTCCAACCATTAGAGTGGAGAAATCGGCCCGGTCTCCGCACATAGCTTATCCTTCTCAGCTCAATTTTCAGGTTAACTTAATTGTATGTGAAGCTTGGCAGTTGGTCAGTAGCTACCGGTTAACTAACATCCCAGCAGCGGAGCGATGACGAGACACGTAAGTTGAAAGTGCAAGTGAGATAATCTCACGCGCCGTGGGGCATGGACACTAAGTTCTTGCCATCCGTTGCTGAGGTCGTCAACGCTGATTGAGGGAAGCAAAGCAGAATTTACAGTCTATAGTAGTGCTGGGGATATGCTTTATGAAGAGAGCATGTCGCTGATTTAAGGAGCCTTCTCAATCGCTAGTACAATCGGCTAGTGCCTGCCCAGCGTCAGAATCGGCGCTGTCGCTTCAACGGTTAATATCCGCACCTAAGGTATTGGCGATGCCCTTTTCAGTCAGAACATGTCGATGACTGTGAATCCGGAAATTAATATTGTATGAGCGATATAACCATCTAAGTTGATTGATGTAAGCCAACCCTATATAATTGGTGATTGAAACGCTGTGGCTGAAACCCATTGTGTTTTGGTAGGCTTGAAGAAGGATATGCCAACTTGTGCACCCTATCCCGAACACGATAAGCTGAGGTCCCCCTTTTCTGCCAGGTTTTGCACCGGGTGTCCTTCGTTACTGGTCCAGGCAGTCCACACTAACACCAGTTCGTGATAACGGCGATGTCAGGGTCCATTGTAGCGTGCTTGGTAGTAAAAAGAACTGCATTCAGATCGGGGGTTGATAGCATCCGGGCAAACAAAGTCCCGACTTGGAGTAGCGCCAACAATCGGCAGCCTTCTTATTGGCGGGTGGTGACGCGGAGCCCCACTGCAGCAGGCGTGATTACGAGCCGCCGCCCATTTACTTTGTAGCTAGTCCCAAAATAGCCTTGTTACTGCCTGCAATTGTTCGTTGCCGCCTGATCCTGGAGGGCGAGCCTTCTCCCATTTATTCCTCTGCTTCCTCTTCATCCTGGCTGCTTCATTCCCATCCGACTCGCCGTTTTTCCCTATCGCATCCATCAAAATCATCAGTTCTATTCGACCGTGGTATCCCCTGCTTGACTCCATCACAATCATGACCATCTCTTCCCTCGTCCGTCGAGGTGTGGAGGCCGCCTTGGAGCAGCCTACCCCGAACCAACCCACCATCCATTTCGCAGGATGGCTGTCAGCTCTGTTTGTCTTCACGGTCCTCGCCTTCATCGCTATCGGATTTTCAGTAAGCTGCATACTGTCTCTGAGCTGATTATTGACGGGCACTGACACGTACGCTCAGGTGGAGTACACTTATGGAATGCTGATCCCGACCCTCGCCGCTATCGAGGATTCCAACCCCGATGTCTACGTCCGAATCGATGGCAACCTTGACGCCAACAAGCCTGTTGATGCAAACGAGCCCGATACCGAGCCTGTGATCGAAACTCCCCCTCCGACGCCCATCACCAGCAAACTACGCACCACGATTCAGCACCTCCGTGCCCGTGCCGGTTTCCTCTCCCGCTTCCGTGGCTTGAGCATGCTCGTCACTTATGGTCTTGCACAAGGGCTGGTCTTCTCCATGATGCCGTTCTCTATCAACGCATTCTTCTCTCAGTTTGTTGTCGGCACGATCTGCAGCGTCGCATTGGCCAACCTGCAGTTGGCGTGGGTTCACATTGTTATCTCCGAGCCTTCTCCCAAACGTTTCTACCAGCGGATCCCCGGTTTTGATGCCTGGAAGAAGATCGCTCCTGTTGTTGCTTTCGAACATGCCGTTACCAATGCTGCATATTACATTCCCCTGATCCTGATCAGCGCTTGCAACGGCTTCAAGAACATTGAGAACCCCTCCGGCGGTGACTCCCCAGCCAAAACTTTCGCCGGCGCTGCTACGCTCGTCTCCCTGCCAGCCCTTCTCTCTTTCGTGGTGTCTATTCCCGCCCGGGCCATCTTCATCCGCGTGGCTGCGTCTATGCTCCCTGAGGAGGATGAGTCGATTGTGCCTTTCGACCGTTCCTTCGGCGGCAAGGTCTCTCCCGCCATTGTCGGCGGCAGCGGCAAGCTGAGCATCATGGATGCTTGGAAGACTTTCGACCGGCCTGCTCTGATCCGCTTCGTCAAGGCCATCGGCAAAGGGTTCGCTATTGAGGTTGCTGTGGCTGCGTTCTTCACCACTCTGCTGGTTGCGCAGGTTTGGGCTGGAGCGGTCACCTATGGCTTCGCTGGAAACAACGCTTAACTACAGCCGAATGCCTTAAAAGTGTGTACAGATCCAAAACAATCAGCTACGACTCTGCTCTTCAGCATGACTCTATACATAAGTCCTAGTGTTTGATGATATAGCGCTTACATGATAATCCATATCCCATCCATGACGTAGTTTGAACCTGTGTAATGTGATTCAATTCTAGCCATCTCGTGCACGGATGAGTGGTTGGCGAGCATTCTTACAGGTACCCCTATCGCCCATATTTCTTTGTTCGCCCTTCCCGTCGCATCGGGCAGGGATAAGCATGGCGTGTGACACAGGAGGGGACTTGGGAGAGTCGGGATTGTCCTGCGGAGGTCCGGAGGAGTAAGCGTTATACCCTCACCCGGACAGAACTAGTACTTTACATAGAGTACTCAGTGAGAGTTCCCAGGAGGGTAGTAGACTACCATCTTCACCGGTCTGCTGCTGCATCCTCAACTTGCCTTGGACCTGTCACATATGATAGACTGGACGGGCCATACCCGCCAGGTACTCACGGGTACTACTTACTACAAGTAATAGCAGAGCAACGCCACCGAGGCGCACCATTTGAGTTGTTATCGCAGCCCACCCCGCCCCCCACTCACCGCCCGGCAGCGATTCTTTCCCATCCACTCACTACTACTAACTGCCAGTCTCTTCGTGACCCTCGGTCTACTTACTTTCCCTCCTGCTCATTTGCTCTCTGTGTTAAATCACCCTCAGGGTAGTAGTCCCTCCTATTCTCCCTTTTCCTCCTCTTCCCCTACTCTTTACCCCCTTGGCCACCCTATACTCTATCAAAGGTCTTCTCACCATTCCACCCCCTCTTGCATCCCCTCATCGTATTATCGGCTCAACGTCCCTCCTCTCCCCCTCCTTACCCCTCCCCGGTATACTCTCTCCACCATGGCCACAACAGCAGCAGGTCGCATGCTCTCCCGCCAACTGCAGCAAATGCAGTCGGACAAGGACATCCCCGGGATCAGCTGCGGATTGGTCGATAACAATGTCTTTGAATGGGAGGTCATGCTCATGATCTCCGATGATGTCAAGTTGTATGGCGGTGAGTAAATTTTGGGTGGGAGAAAGCCTGAATCAACATCTCCAAATTATTTCCAGGGGCTTGTCATACTGACTCAAAAATGAATAATAGGTGGTTTCTTCCGTGCTCGTCTTTCGTTTCCTCCTGACTACCCTCACATGCCGCCGAAAATGAAGTTCGAGACTCCTCTGTACCATCCGAACAGTACGCCTCACCCTATATTTTCCTAGCTTCCCTTGGATTCTCTTCCAAGGCACAAGACAATCACAGAAGAATACTAGTTTAACTGTGACAATCATATATAGTCTACCCCAACGGTGACGTCTGCATCTCCATCCTCCATCCACCAGAGGATGACAAGTATGGCTACGAGTCCGCCGCGGAGCGCTGGTCCCCCGTGCAAACGCCCGAGACGATCCTCCTCTCTGTTATCTCCATGCTCTCCAGCCCCAACGATGAAAGTCCCGCCAATGTCGAGGCTGCACGGTTATGGCGGGAAGACCCGAAAGAGTTCAAGAAGAAGGTGCGCAAGTGCGTACGGGATAGTCTGGGAGAGGAGTAAAGGAGCTCCTCCTTCCCTTATCTACTTTATCATCCCTTGAGTCAAACCATCCAGTCATGGTTTGATGTGAATTACATGAAACAGAGACGGAAACGGGTTAATATGGGTTTCTTTTCTTTGTGTTGTTCGTTGCATGATAGAAGGACGCTTGGTGCGGCTGATTCGGCTGATGGTCTATCTATTTACTTACGTACGGGATATATGCATTTTTCCCCTTTCGCCTGACAATTCTTGTTGCTGATGCGGGGAGTTTTCTTCTTTTTCTCGTTGTTAATTGGTCTACGATGGAGTTTAATCTCACTTCTTTTTACTTTTGCCTTTCTTCCTTCTTTTCATTCAATCTACCATTGCACTCGTTACTCTTGCATGCTTCTTCTCGTGCGCTGTTAAACCCTGGTTGTATATCCTTTTGGGTGTAGGCGGGTTTCCTTTCCCAGTGAATATACTTGTGGTATATGGGCTAAATACACGGACCCACTGACTTTTGCCTGCCGAAGTATTCCTCCTTGGTACTAGAACGGGTATGTATAGTGGTAAAACCATACTGAGATACCGGCAGTAACTGCAACGATAGTAAACGGGTATCTATTGAATGTAACTATACTTGTAGTATGGACACTAGTATATGGTCTTTTGTATATAATTAGGCTTTAGGCGTCTTCTTCATCCCCTTCCGGATAGATTCGAGGAAGAATCCGGGGTAGAAGTAGGTAAGGCAGCTCACGGCAATCGCCATCATCCTATAACTCCAGTCAGTATCGTCCGTACTCACGATATAAGAACGGGACGGGAGCCATAATCGAAAGAGACACTCACATTCCATCAAGAACCAAGAATTCATCCTCTCTCTGCATGAGCGGGTTACCCCATCCACCGGCCATTTCAGGGATACTGCATATACCACATTAGCATCTCGCAGCGTAACTAGCTTTGAGAAAATGACGACAATAAGAGGTAGTGGGCAGGCATACCGATAAATACACCGAATCAAAGTAGCAAAGTAAGCCACAATGCCGGCCCAAATAACGAGTCTGAGGTTTTTCGGCCCAGTGAGGTTTCCATTCTCATCAATGAACTTCTCGCCGCCCAAACCAGGTCCCTTTCTCACGACGCGGATGAAGAAATCCAACGCTAACAGACCACAAACTGACATCGTGCCCACCTGGAAGGCAATACCCGCTACCATGATATCATCGCCCACCTTCAGCAGACTCTGATTCTCGCTGCCTGCTGCCGCGGCGACACCGCCACCTGCGGCTTGGAGAATGAGTGATCCGACATCACAGCTGATGAAGATCCAGGTGAAGAGCTGGGCTTGAGACGCGAGTATTCCGGGCCCAGGGAGAGAATGACGTGCTTCAGGGTGAGATAGATACCGGCGGCGATGAAGGTCGGGGCGAGCACGAGGCAGACGATTTGCAGTTTGAAGGCGCCCTGGTCCCAGGGGTTGTGGTTCATTAGAATTCGGCCGATGTATCCTGCTAGTTCCATGTATCCGCCGATTACCATTGCGATCATCATTGTCCAGGAGCGGTAGTAGACGCCGAGACCGAGTTGGAGGGTGCCGAGAAGGCCGAAGTAGACGGCGAAAAAGATGTTACCGCCGAGGTTGGGGTAGTAGCCGTATGTTGTCGCTGTGACGGGACATTCTGGCGTAACGTGCGTGCAAGTGATGCTCATGGTGATGGGTCGTCGTCCTCTGGTTCCGGTGGTCGTAAGAGTAGTCGTGTATCGGTGGAAGGGTGAGGAAATAGATAGTTGATATAGGTGGAAGAACTAAAAGAAAGTGACAAGCCGCTATGAAAAGGTCTATATGCAATATACCATGCAATATATGCAAGCAAAGTAGGAAAACGAGGGAAAGAAAGAAACAGATATGTAAGATGACGCCGGCTCCGACGCTGATAGATGCGCGCACATATTGTATGTCAGCCTGATGGGGATCAGACCTATTAATATAAGACAGTCGAATAAAATTTATAGTCGACCCGTTCTTTATCCCGATTTGCCGGGCTTTGGAGACGGCCCTCTGCCTGGTGGATCGGTCGTGTATAAATTTCATGGCATGACAGCGCCGATTGGCTCGCTTTCGTTCTCGTTTTCGTTCTCGTTCTCGCACTACTCCACCGGCCATATCGGTTGGCTCGACCGTTATCGTCGATGGGGGAATTCCTCCGGCCATGCACTTTGTTCCTTGCAAGAAGGAAACATTTTGAGCTCGTATCCCTTCGATCTGTTCGTGAATATCATATCGTCCTAGTCATCAACGAACTGTTCGTTCCCACTCATTCTTCCCGGAATTGATCTCGTCGATGGAGATAAAGCGTGCCTGGAGAAGATTCAGTAAGCATTCATTTAACCGATTTGATAGCGGCCGTTGTGGGGACTCACGGCTCCACCTGTGTCATTGCGCCCCTTTTGCTGCTGGGTTGGAGAAACAAAACAGCCAGAGGTGAAACAACTCTTTCTGTAGATAGCTGCAGACAGCTCTCGGCATGCCGGTGTCCAGCTTGCATTGACCCCAGGATATCTTATAGCCTAATGGAACATCTGCGCTTGTGGATGGTTTTGATGGGGGTTTATATCACGTGACACGGAGAATTAGTCACCCTGCGTCGGCACGTGGAGCCGCTTAGTACAAAGTAGTTTTCATCCATCCACTCCAATTATTTTATCGTTGAGCGGACGATGATATCCTCCGGCAAATAAGCGTCCGATATGCTCCATTACTAAGAAAAGGCCTGGATTTGCAAGAAGATATGAAAGCGGTGGGTTTGAATTGAGGGGAAATGCCACCTAGAAGGACCCATACCAAGTCACGCAATGGCTGTGACCAGTGTAAGAAGAGACGCGTCAAGGTAAGCATCATTCACTTTCATACTTCTCATATCCCGCATTCCTGGGCTATGCCTGAATTGAACAGCCGAAAGTGTTCAATTCTGGAACTATTTAGTACCCGTCTAATTCACTATCATCCCCGCAGCGCTCTTCTTAGTTCTAACGGCTGTAGTGCGACGAACGAGGCCCACCATGCTCCAATTGCATTAGCCGGGAGCTGGCATGTACTTACTTTAAGACCCCGGCAGCACGCAAGGAGACTACACTATCGACAAGTCCTGCTCCTTTGCAGTCAATAGTAGCACCCTCTGAGGCAACATACCATGCCAACCAGCCCGTCTCCCGCCATGGATCTTCACCGCCAAACTTTGCTTGCCTGCGGGAGCTTGAGCTAATGCACAAGTTTTCCACGGAGACGTATCTGAGTTTATGCAACGAACCAACAGATCACCATGAATGGCAGTATGTCATCCCTCGCAAAGCTTTGCAGCATGACTTCCTCATGAGCGGAATACTAGCGGTTGCATCTCTCCATATCGCGTCGACACTCGATCCACCAGAAGCGCTTTCCTATATTGACACAGCTCTGGAGTACCATAATCATGCATTTGCACCTTTTCGGCATGCGATTGATAACCTCACTCCAGCCAATTGTGACGCAGTCTTAGCTCACTCAGTAATCACAACTGTCATTGGTATAAAGTTACCGCAATTGGCACGAGACGAGAATCAAAGCATGACCGAAAACATAATTGTCGTTTTCGAGTTGCTGCACGGAGTCAGTAAAATCTTCACCATCAGCCGTCCCTGGCTTCAAGGAAAGTTGTTTACTTCCCGGAGAGGCTTTTGGGAAAACCAACTTTCCATACTAGACAGTGAAATCGAGGCTGCGCTGGATCGACTAACAGCCTTGAACAATGATATGCTTGCTCGTGACAAAGCGGATCAACACCACATCATCAAGAATGCAATAGCTCTTCTACGCCGTTGTTTCTGCAGATACAGCCATGCCCGGGACGTAGCTTCCATACTCGCATGGGTTGCAACCGTTGATAAGGAATTCGTTCATGCTCTGAGATGCCGTCAACCTCTCGCACTGCTAGTTCTCATACACTGGGGTGTTCTGCTCCAGGAGCTTGATGAAAAAGTGTGGTGGGCAAAGAATTCCGGAACAGCTCTGGTTTCCGAGTTGCTGAATGCCCTCCGTCCCTGCGACGTACGGTGGGAGGGTGCATTGCAGTGGCCGAAACGTAAGATAGGACTTTGATAAACATACGTTGGATCAGTTTCTGCGTTCTTAAGCCATGGTCACTGGGCTCACAGCTACTGCACGAGCTGCGCACCGGAGATGCTTACAAGAGTTCCTCATAATATTGGGCGCTGGTCAGCGTACAGATTGACACGGATCTATCAGCACAGACTAAAGACAAATAAGGCCGTCGCATATAAATAACAGGTCTTGCAAACGACTGTCTCAAAACAAGGCACAGACGCCTCTTCAAAGCTTCCCCATTCTTTTCAGCACCTTCTCATAAGCTTCTTTTGTCCGTGCTGAAGAGAGCTTGTCAAGATAATGTTGACAGAACGCTAAGCTTAAAGGACCCCCGAGCTGTTTCAGCCAGTATGATCGCCCACAATCGAAAATCCAGTTGCGGGTGCCCACCTTGACAAGCTCTGCCAGGATATGTTGTGGGATACTTCGATCTTGCACAAATATTATTTTTGGTAGCTCATGCCGAATCTCTTCCGGGGCATTTTCCCTGCATATGGCTAGAATCTCGTCGAACGTATGGCTCACATATAATTGCGATCCGATATGAACGATTCCTCGCGTTCCAGCAGCTGCATGCAAAAGGCACGCATTTGCGACAAAGTCAACTGGTATTTCATCCAAGATATTCTGTCCACTCTTATAGCCCTCTGCGGCGTGCCATATCTGGGTACCTCCCTGGTCTGAAAAGTACAACGTAGAGAACTTCGTCAGAGGCGTCGAATCCTCGGGCCCGTACAGTGGGTATGGGTCTCTGACAGCCGGTCCAAAGATTGTCGGACGAACAAACAATACCGGGAGCGTGGGATACCGCCTGAACGTCAAGCGCTCCATAAGATGCTTCGCATGGGTATAAGATGAAGAAAATCTATCCGTATAAGGCGACTGTCCAGTTTCTTGTATGCTTGCCAATTCATCCTCTGGGTCGTCGTCTGAAACGGGGTACAGTCGCTCGCCCACATAACCATCCGGCAGAAAACTGTTCACATAAGCCGTGGAAATCTGGATGAACAGCCTAAGTCGACGAAACCGGGAAACCATCGCAGCCAACTCTAATGCGGGCAGACAATTATTCTCTAGCGCTTCAGAGATGCTCGCATCTAGTTTGATTTTCGCAGCTGCATGTATAACTAGCGTGACCTCTTCACGCAATCGGTTCAACATCGCGTCCTCAATCCCGAAGTCCGACTGCCTAATATCCCCGACTATGTAATGAATCCTGTTCGAGTTCAGAATCGCCTGCGTGTGATCCGGCATGGTCTTTTTCCATTTCTTCACAGCCAACTCTGACGACCCGCGGATCAAGACAAAAATCTTCTGCGTCGGAAGCTGCGCTGCCAGCTTATACAGAATACACCCTCCCAGTGAGCCCGTACTGCCCGTCAAGAAGACGGTCTGTCTCTCATAAGACGTTGCATACCCGATTTTCTTAACCTCATCTTGATATGGCGCGAGGTCCGGACCTGGCATAGGGAAAGACTGTACTGGTGTTTTTCAGAGGGAAAAAAAAAATATGGAGTAGGTGTGGGTATCTCCTCGTCATGGGAAACCTGTATAAAACCACCCGAAGGGTTACTATATACACCCCATCATCATCACATGTTACATTCCCAACGCTACGATTCACCAGCACATCACTGGAGCGAAGGTGCAACACAGTGCTACCAGCCGAAGGAAAAGCCTCGGCTGATTATGAGGCCGTGAAGACGTCCCTAACACCTGTTGTGATGCTAGAACATGGAAGTCTGGGCCACTCCTGTATTTGGAAAAAAGAAAACGCCTCACTCAATTCATCGAGGATTTACTCCAGAGAAATATATCATAATCTGTTATGTATCTTCAGTCAACCCCAGGACAAATGTGGCCGTTTCAACAAATATCTCTGCTATTGTACTCATATATAAAATACTCTGCGGTATATGAGTCTTGCCATAGCACCGTGGTACTATCTCCCTGTGACGAAACACAAGTGTAACATATCACCCTTATGTTCGTCCAGTAGTAGAAATCACCGGTGAGCTACGTCTGCTACGGGCACTCAAAGTACGTACGGCAGTATTATGCCATAGGGGATGATAGTGAGCATGTTTGTTTCGTGACTTTTGATTTCCATTCGGGAAGAATTTCTCCCACAAGTCCAGATGGATTTGTGCAGTGGTGATTGGTGAGAATGGATGACCAAACCACCTCTCAGTCTCGTTGACTACTATAGTTTGATTGTTTGTGCCGACGTCCGTTTCATTGCACAAGTAATGTCGGGTCTCTACTCATTTCTATTGCATTTATCTGAGAATAGAGTCATGACTAGTAGTCTACATTACCTATTGAATTTAGAACAAGATATACAATGCCCATCTTCCTAAGCAGTATATATGAAAAAATAGCAGAAGATACACGGAGGAAAGAAAGGCTCCATTTAGGCAGTCAAATCTATCTACCTAGCTTAGCCAAGAGTTTCAACTAGTATGTATTAGAAAAGGATTAGAAAGGAAACCAAGGCAAATAAAAGCACTCAATCAATCAAGAATGCTTGTTCCCGCCGCCACCACACCAACAACGGCCGTCTCCTTCGCGCTCGACCTGGACGAGAATGTCCATGCCCTTTTCGCGGAGGTAGTCCACGGTGCGTTGGCGGACATCTTCGAGATCGGAGCCGCGAGAGGCAATGACGTGGATTACGCCGAGGACGTTGAGAGTATGCGTGTCATGGTGATCGTGATCGTGATCATCGTGGCTGTGGGAATGGTGGTCATGACTGTGACTGTGAGTATGGCCGTGGTCGTGAGCATGATCGTGATCGTGGCTATGGTTGTGACTATGAGTATGACTGTGGTTGCATCCATGATCATGAACATGGTCGTCGTGATGATGGTGGTGGTGGTGGCCGGTTTCCTTCCCGGTATCGTCCAGCCAGAACTTCGGGACGGTGTACCCGACAACGCCCCGTAAAGTGCTGACGCCAGCAAGGGTTTCGCGAACATTGTACTCAATGTCGGCTGGAAGGGTGAGCAGCAGGGTCTTCGCAGTGCTGCTGACAAGCGGGATTGCCGAGGCAAAAATCAAGATTGCGATGAAAGAGGAGGCAATTGGATCGAACCCTGGCCAGCCAGAGTAGTGCACGAGGATGGTCGAGATCACAACAGCCACGGAGCCAAGAGTGTCGGCGAGAATGTGTAGGAAAATGCCGTGCATGTTCTCGTTTCCGTGCGAGTGCCCGTGACTGTGATCGTGGCCGTGTGCATGTCCATGATCGAATGCCATGATTCCGACAAGGTTGACGAGAAGTCCCGCAACACTCACAGCCAGTAGTTCGCCGAGGCGATGCATCTGACTGCCCGATGAAAGCCGCTCGACGGCTTCATAGATGATTTCGATGCTGATGATCCTGCATATTGTTAGGACGGTCATCCAAAATGCTTGGGCAGGACTTACATGAGGAAGATGCCGTTGGCAAACCCAGACAGCGTGTCGACTTTGCCATATCCGTAGGGGAACCTAGAGCTCGGGGGCCATTTACTCATGACAGCAGCACAAAGGCCAACCACGAGCGCCAAGCAGTCGAAGAACATATGGATACTGTCACTAAGAAGACCCAGGGATCCTGTCATGAACCCATAGGACAGCTGAACAAGCATAAATGCAAAATTAAGACTGGTTGAGTTAGTCCCGAGTTACTATGTTTCAAGGGCGGAAGGAGGAAATACCTCATGAAGTAGAAGATACGGCGCGAATCGCTTTCCTTGAGAATACTGTACAAAAGAGGATAAGGCTCGCTGTACTGGATAATGAGCCTCGTTATCTTCGTAGCATCAGCTCCAGAGTGGGCATGATGATGGTGATTATGGGTATGAGAGTGTTGCGAAAGGCGCAATTGTCTGTCGTCGAACCTGGCAGCAAGGAACGAGGCAGCAGTTGCAATGGCGCGAGCTACATAAGCCAGGTGAGTTTTCTCTTGCAGCGGCGGGGAGCTTAAAAGAGCGGCAGCTCCGACACCGATAACAAGACCTATCTTTTGTGGTGAGCGTAGATGGGAAGAAGAAACAGATATCAAGCACGTTGCAAGCGCTCCAGCAGCTGCAAACTGGTACAGCATGTTGGTCGGTTGCAGAGACACATTGCCGGAAACAACAACAGTGATAAGTGCCAGGATGATGCCTGAAAGAATGGCCAGAATTGAATCACTTGACGAGATGGCTCCCGAGCCCTGCTTTTCAGCTTGCTTCTGGGACACTGTGCCATTGGACGTCAAGTAATCCAGATCAGCAGAAATGGTCGAAGCCCCAGCCAAAGGGGGCCGAAGAACGAAGACCGAGGTGAGCAAAGAGACATAGCCCAGGTATGGGTGAGGGTCTCGCGTCGCATTCATACCCCAAAGGCTCAGCGCAATAATGGTGATGAGAAGCATGATCGTCACTTTCTTTTGGCTAAACCGGGACTGTGCACTGCTGTGAAGCCCATAGCCCTGAACGACGGTCGGCAAACCTGACGCTACAGGAAGCAACAAGCCGCATGTGACAAGGAATCCTCCCACCTTCAATGTCGCATATATCGGCAATGCGACCGAAGACATCCGAAGCAAAACGGCACTTGCCGCGCTGGAGCCCACTTGAGGCAGTGTAACCCCCGAGCCACTCCCTCCTCCTCGTTGGATGGATCCAAGTAATTGCCCACATCCATATACAATCATTGTAGCAGCGGTCAGCATGGAAGCTTTACTGGCAACATGCTCCAAGGTCCCGTTTGCTGGGCTAGATGTAGCGGGGTCATCGCTTGTCGAGAGCGTTGTCTGCCAAAGCGCATGTTGTTGGTGGTACCAGGACAGAATGATCCACGGCAGGGAGAGGAGAAGGCCAGAGAGAACTTCCTGACTGAGCAACGTTAAATCGAATTCCAAGGAATCGCTCAGAGAAGACTTACGTCGTGCTCGATTGAGAGTCAATTGAAGTGCTAACCGATTGAGCTCCAATCAATCCCGTCACGCTATCGGTCTTAGTATGGTTGATAGAGCCGAGGCTCGTGTGATGAGCATGTTCCCACACAGTAGGAGTTGAGTGGGAGTGGGAGTGGGAATGGGAATGGGAATGCGAATGGGAGTGCGAGTGGGAATGTGTGTGAGGGTGTTCCGGCCACGTTGGGCTCACAGTTTGGCCATTGGTGAGTTGTGTATTCGGTAGAGGCTGTGGGGGCTGTTGTTGCGCCGAGGAGACATCGAAGGAGGAAGCCGAGATGGAGATGGGACCGTTTGACCAGCGAGATGCACGCGAATGACCCCGGCCCCGAGAATGTCCTAGACCTTGTACCTGAGGAATGGTATCCACGGTGGACACGGGAGCCCCCGTCGACATGATCTCCAGTGGTTCGTGTGAGGATAGGCGACTAACCACGGAGGGAGCACAAGGCGAGAGAGCGTTCGGAGGAGGGAGCAAGGAGGTGGATTGACGAAGGATTGGAGCTCTAGCAGCTCAATGCAAATGAACGGTCGAGGAACTGGGTCAGACGAGGTGGCATAGCGCCGGGGAGGAACTGGGAAACGAGGTTGGCAGCTTGGACGGGCGCTTGTGGCAATGAATGGGGATGGGATGGGGATGGATGGCCCCCAGATGCGCGCCGCCGACTGAATGATCGGCTGCCCGCGATAACCCCCGGGCCACGTGATTGGGCTGGCCACGGGCTGATCGTCCGGCCTCGATCGAAATAGAACTCTCCCCCAAACAACAACTACGGAGTATGTACCTTGGAAGACTGGCTGCGGTCAGGGGGGAATCTGTTCCAGGCCACGTCCAGGCCAGAATCCCGCGTTGCTTTTACGCCTGCAGAAACCAACGATCAGGCACATTGCATGCATCTCACCAATCCGAGAGCGAACCGCGCGCTTGATCAGCTTTGACGCGGCATCGAGTGGGGTTGTGGGATCGGCCCAGGATTCCTCCGTTCAAACCGGAGTACAGCTGGCAATCCTCTGCCCCGGAGCTATCTCCGTGCTTCTTATCTACTTTGCTGTTTCTACTGGCCCTTCAATGGCCCTGCGCTGAGCTGCATCCACCAACCAATTTGTTCAGAATGCTGTTGAACTCAATCGCTTGAACTTCCTTTCATCCCTCCAATACATAATTTCCGACACCATGATCGAGTTGCTCATTAGCGTCGTGTTCTATCTCTCTACGGCGCTTACTATCGGCATTCTCTTGCTGCCTTCGCGGCATGAGTCCAAGCCTGTGACTAGCCAAAATGCGGCAAACGAACCCAAGACCACTGTCCAAATTCTCGTGTTAGGGGATATCGGCCGTAGTCCGCGCATGCAGTACCATGCCCTCAGTGTTGCCCGAAATGGTGGACAGGTGGACATAATTGGTTACCATGGTGAGCTACATAATGCGCTCTTGTTCTTCTCAGAGTTCCACACTAATCAATTGCTATAGAATCCGACGTGCATCCCGAGATCTCCTCCCATCCGAGAATATCCATTGTCCCCCTGCCGCCGCATCCATCCTGCCTTCAGACAAGCAACAAGCTCCTCTTCCTATTGTTCGGTCCGCTGAAAGTTCTCTTCCAAATCGTCTGCTTGTTTTGGATCTTGGCATATCGTACAAAACCAGCCCAATGG